TCCGATCTCCCCAAAACCCCAAAACCCCGTGTACCAATTATATATGAATTAAATAGAAAAACATATTATGTTTGAATTAACGAAATCAATCAGTTTCTCTTTTGAAAGCAATAGCAGCTTTAAAAGATTTATCGTTATGAATTCTGGCATCCGAAAATCCATTTTTTGTGATTAAATCTAAAATTTCTTGTTCAGTAAATTCTTGTCCTTTTCCCATCAAGGCCATATTGAGCTCCATCATTGCACTTTTGAAATTATTTTTCTTCTCATTATCTAAAAAGGCTTGATAAACTATAATTGCGCCATTTTTATTTAAGGCTTTCCGGGCTTTCTACAGAATCATTTAGCTTGTTTCAATAGGCCAATTATGAAGGATATGACCGAAAATAAGTACGTCAACCTCAGGAAATTCTTGCCTAAAAAAATCAAGCTCTTGAAATTATAATCTATCGTTTAAATTCTAAGCTTTTATATACTACTCGCACTTTTCCTATACAGACGGCAATTCGCATACTGTTCCAAAGATATGCTCATGAGCCTTGCAAATTTATACTGAGACAGTGCCTTTAGATCCACCAATGTCAGCAAAAGTCTTAAAATCTTTCCAAAACTCAAGTTAGGGAATAGAAACAGAGGCTAGCATAGATACACCATGCATTGCATCTGAGAAGAAATCTGGGGGCGGGACATCAGTGTAATACTCTGATCCCAATTAGACTTTCTCTTCAATCTCCTCCGATTGAAGCAGCTATTTAAATCTGTCAATCCCAAGAGTAAATGCTCTTGAAGTAGTCCAAATAAAATATGGCACCATATAGTGCTCGTAATTATTTGGATTAAGCACTTTTTAGGAAATTTCACTCAAGGAGTAAAGGTCATTCTAGTCTCTGTCTAAAAATCTTGCAGCAACCAAGGCGTTAAAGAAATCACTTGGCCTATGGAACTTAACTCCACATTTATTAGCCAGTTCTGTGCTTGATAGTTTCTAATTTTCAAGGAGTACATTAAATACGTTTAATTCAAGAGCCACATTTAAGAGATTTGCTTTCCATTAGCCTTCTTATATTGACCTAATGTATTCAACAATATCTTTGGTTTCAGAAACTTTCTCCATTTTTAATAATATTAAGCCAGTGTTGCATTATATATCCTAATATATTTTATTTCATACTAAAGATGCTACTTAAATTGAGAAAACTGAAAATGCCAACAAACACTTGGCTCTGTGTGTTGGACTGTCGTTCTTGAAAAGCCACTTGCTGTACTACCGCTTTATAGTTCGAATTTAATGCAGTTGAGGATAATGGCACCGAAGAGGTGGAATGATATAACAATATGAAAACAGCATTATGGTTAACGATTAGAGAATCCAGGATGCTATGAGTTTTTTCAACTTTTGACACTCAAGCGTCGAATCTCATTGCTGTTGCCCTTGTTGATGCTTCATTCCTTTAGAAGCTGATCCTGTCTCTTGGCACTCTTTCCCTTTTATTTAGTGGTTGCAAACTTTACCACTACAGGCTTGAGAAGTACCTAATCTAGCTTCATGGCGTTCACGAACTTGAACATTGCCAATGTCTAGGTAATTTCTTATCTTTTGTCGACCACCTCGACATCAGTGAACTTCACTCTGCTGCTTTGTGACCGAATCTTCCCACTCTTTTAAACCCGTGAACTGCATCTCTTTTATTCCAGAAGCTCTTTGCAATTACGAGAGTCATAGGGGGTAAAAGGAAGCGGTACTTACATTTGATACAGGCACCACATTTATCGGTACCAGAGCAGAGAAAGTACAGACTATCACCAGGTCCCTACTATAAATCTATAAGTGAGGTAGGGTCTGCAAAGTCACCTTCTCTCTAGGACCAGCATTGCCACTATGGAAAATGAAGTGGCAAACTCCAAAGAGGGATAAACTGGGCCACCATTTGACAAAGGTCCACCAAGTAGAAGGCAACATGACTATTTTTTCAGAGTCCTCGCTCTTGACTCCTTCGCTTTCCTCTAGCTTGAAGACATTTGGATTAGCCTGTATTCAAAATTGAGAGGGAAATACTTACCATCAATTTTTTACATTCTCTAGAAGCATAAAACTGCTCGAGAGAGCAAAGAGCTAGGTCAGAGTCATCTATTTTCTATCCATGACTCAAGCACCTTAGGAGCAGCAAAAAACCCGAGTTTCCTAGAGGATTCAAGTGGATTCAAGCCTTAGTACTGTTGTCCTACCGTGTAGCCAGCAGTATAGCTTATACCACGGGCCAGTGATAGCTTCCGAGATGCATTACATGAGCAACACCAAAAAGGATAGAGCCGATACCACGCTTGATGTGTTCATCTCTCACCTTGATGGTGGTTACCACTATAATCAACAAGCAACATACCTCAAAAGCAAGTAAAGCTGCTGCAAACTAGAGGCCTGTACTCCTTATTTCTTCTTCCTCCTAGATTAGGAAGGTACCAACAAGGTCACCCTCCTTCACTTCGAATGTTTTGTTGTTGTTTTCGTTGAAGAACTCACATTCAATGTGCCTCTGGGTGGAAGCGTAGTTTCTTGGTAGGGCTCAGCCGTCTGGTATTTTCTAGCACGGAATCAGTTCTATGCACCCATGATAATTCTTGCCTGTGGGAACTTGGATTCACCATTGATGCATGGCGCTAGTATTTTGAACTCTTCCTTGACGAGTTTCAGTCAGGTTCTCTAACGTTTAATTATAATCTTGATTATCTGACACCCTTTCACAATTTTATTTTTATAAATATTTTGTCAAAAACCTTAAATTTAACGTATCTAAAACACATTATGGGGTTTTGGGGTTTTGGGG